TTTCACATATACATGACAATAGTTTACCAACATATGTCAATTAACATATTCTCAAATCCTCTCACGCTAATGAAATGAAATATAAATTGCGCAAATCGTCAAAAAACAATCACAAGAGTAATACTACTACAAGAAACACATGATATTTGATTATCCTTAAACTTCAAACATGTCATTCAAAACCTTGTGATTTTTTTTTAAACATCTCACAATTTATGAGTGATTTTATCATATTTTGGGAGTAATAAATTAATTGCAATGGGTCTAACGGGTCTACCCACTAACCCTCCCAACCCGACCCAAAATAAACAAGGGTTATCAGGTTCGGATCATTCGGAGTTCGAGTTACAAAAATTTCTAGTTTTCGGAGGACTTCGGGTCGGGTCAACAGGTCGTGTTGTAATTTGCCAACTCTATCGCCATCCCTCAAATCGACCGCAAGAGATGATGATCCCGCCGCCGTGAAAGTCTGCAAACAATAATCGCGTTGCTCTTGTAATGAACCAGATAATATCAGTCATGATCCAAGCACGGCTATTCAACGAGCATCTCGGCTCAGCAACCACCTCCCCGGCTATCTTGACGGCGGATTTGGTCTCCGACTTTATCCGCTCCATACCGAGGTTCTTCTTCCTCTCCCCTTGCTCACAGATGAAAAAGTGGAGTTTTTTATTTGGGTGAATTTGGGCATTACCAAGGTAGTGGAATTTTTTAGTTTTTTAGTTGGGTGGAAACGAATTTAGTTGGTTCTCCCTAAAGTTGATCAGATTGCAAGAATTCTGATGAAAATGTTGTCTCATGGTCAGGCTGATGATTTATGTAGTCCTATTACTGCCAAGGAAGTCCGTTCCACTTTGTTTGGTTTCAATGGTGAGAAGGCTCCTGGCCTGATGGCTTCCCTGTGTGTTTCTTTCAGGCTACATGGAATATAATTGGAGTGGAGGTAACAAATGATATTCTCTATTGCTTTCATGTATCTAGTATACCTGTTAGTATAAACTCTACCCTCCTGGCTCTTATTCCTAAGGTCCAGAACCCTGAGGAAATGAAGTTTTTTAGACCAATTTCCCGCTACAACATTCTCTATAAGTGTATGGCAAAAATTCTAGCAACAAGGCTAAGTTCTGTCATGCCTAGTATTATTAGTGAATCTCTGACAACTTTTGTCAAAGGTAGAGTCATTGCGGAAATTATTCTACTTGCGCATGAATTGGTCCATAAATTTGGTAGGAAGAATATATCCCCTAGATCATTAGTAAAGGTTGATTTGATGAAAGCCTTTGACTCAGTGGATTAGGGTTTTCTGTTTAATGTATTGGAGGCTATGGGATTCCCTGCTAGGTTCTTAAACTGGTTGAGAATGTGTGTGACTACTCCGAAATTAAGCATTGGCTTTAATGGAGGATCATTTGGCTATTTTTATGCTAAGAAGGGTTTGAGAGAGGGTGATCCCCTCTCCCCCTTATTTGTTTGTTGTGGCTATGGAAATCTTCTCCTTCCTTATGAATGAAGTGTTAAGCAGAACATTATACCTTTTCATCCTATGTGCAAGAGGCTCAAGTTAACTCATCTTATGTTTGCTAATGATTTATTGCTCTTCTCTGATGGGTCAAATTCTGGAATTCAAAGCATTCAAAAAGTGTTGTCAGAGTTTAGGAAAATGTCAGGCCTTCAATCTAACCCAGCTAAGTGTGAGTTATACTATGGGGGGATCAGTGAGCATTGGCAGAAAACAATGGCAGCTTTCTCAGGGTACAAGTTGGGGAATCTTCCTGTTTGTTACTTGGGACTTCCTTTGTTGGTAGGAAAGCTCACTATACGAGCTTGTGCGCCTCTGATTGAAAGAGTTACTAGAAGAATTGCTAGCTAGAAGTCAAAGTCCTTATCTTATGCTGGTAAGTTTCAATTGGTTATGTCTGTATTGTACAGTCTCACACAGTTTGGATGTCTATTTTCATTCTTCCTAAAGCTGTTATTAGAGCTATTGAGAAGCTATCCAGTGATTTCCTATGGGGGGTGGGAGATGGAGCTAGGAAAAAGGCAGTGGTAGCCTAGCCTATGATCACTTATCCAAAAAAAAGAAGGTGCTCTAGTACTTAGGGATGTGGCTTCATGAAATTTTGCTTGTGTTACGAGGCACATTTGGGCTATTCTTCTGAAGCGGGGATCTCTCAGGGTTGCCTGGATTTAGGAATATAGAATTAAGCGGGGGACTTTCTGGGATGTAACTACAAAGGCAGGTTCCTGGCTATGGCTCAAGTTGCTAAAGAGTAGAGACAAGTTAAGAAATTTGTTACCTAATGATGCTGATGGTGTTTACTGGAAGGGGGATCTGATGGCAAAATTTAGTATTAAGAAAGTATGGGAGGAAGTCATACCCAAGAGTAGCCCTGTTCCTTGGAGCTCGCTGATTTGGAAAGGACCTTGTATCCCAAGAAATCAGTTCCTGGTGTGGCTTGTCGTTAATGATCATATAGTAACAGGGGATAAAACACAAGGATGGGGGGATGTTGGTAGTCATGGTTGCACTTTCTGTTCTTGTTCCCTGGAGACAAGGCCTCATTTGTTTGCTGAGTGTCGAGTGTACTGACAACTGTTTGCCGCTTTGTTTGCCAAATTTACAGGTCGCATTCCTGGGGATCAGTGTCTTGATGAACTTCATTGGGCGTCCCTGCAGTTCCAAAAGAAGACTATTGTTGCTCAGGTGGGGAAGATTATATGGCAGGTAGGGCTGCAAATGAGCAAAGCCGCTCGCGAGCAACTCGGCGTTCGAATCAGAAAAAACTCGTTCGACACTCTACTCATTGTTTAACAAGTCGGCTCGCGAGCTGGCTCGTTAGTAAACGAGCCAAGCTTGAGCTAGGCCATGCTCGACTTGATAAGCTCGTGAGCTAGCTTGACTCGGTGGCTTGTTGAGCTAAGCTCGCGAGCTGGCTTGTTTAAAGCTTGTGGAAGGTTAATTACTCTTCTGAACATGAAAATTACGTTGTTAATAAGGATGTGTATGGAAGTTCTATGTTATTTTATTTTTTTAGTGTTCTTTTTATCATTTTTAATTTCTAATGTTCTTATGTGTACACATTTTTCAGCAAGAATGGTTTCAAATCGAGCTTATCTTGAGCCGAGCTTGTACTCAACTTGACAAGCTGTGTTAATGAGCATTTACCGAGCTTTATCGAGCCGAGCTGGATTATTTTTAATCGATTCGAGCTCGAGCTCGAGCTGGATAATGAAAATTCGAGTTAGAGCCGAGCTCGAGCTAAAAAATTTATAAACGAGCCGAGCTCAAGCTAAGCATAAAATCGACTCGACTCGACTCGTTTGCAGCCTTAATGGCAGGCCTTGATTACTACCACATGGAGAGAGAGATGTAAGATACAATTTGGAGGAAGTTCGCTTGATGTGAATGAACTGATCCGGTTGGTAAAGAGTGAGTTAAGATTGATTCTAGATCCCATGATAGTTGAGTTGTTCTTCTAGTTACAAAGGTTTTGTAGTTGTTTCTCGTGTTCTGATAGTTAGTTAAAGTGCAGTAGCACTACTCCTGTCTATAGGTCTGATTGCTCAGTTGGCAGAGCTTGTTGCCAGAGCAAATTTTATGCCCATTTGATGAAATGAAAAGCCTCAACCAATTCATAAAAATAAAATAAAAACGAATTTAGGGTTTAGAATTTGAGGAGAAGAAGCATAGAAGATGGGGTGAATAAGAATTACAATTTTAATTTTTTTAATAATTAATTAATAAATAAGTGAAAAAGGTTGACCGACATATGTGATATTTTCGTTGACTGTCATGTCAGAATATCTGTTCCACATCAACGTAGCATCTGTCAACCATCATTTAATGAAAGTGTTAACGGAGACTTAACGATTGGCTAATAATTTGTACTTCAATTGTTGTGACTATAATTTTCCGCTGCTTAATAATTATGGCTAATATATATGGGACCTCCTACCATGCCTTGAAGTTACTATAACTTGACTTTTTTTAACTGCTAAAGCAGGTTTTATAGGTCACATTACGTAAAACTAATGTTTATTACGTAACAATTACGTAATGCTTGTTAGTCTTACGTAACAGTTAAACTAGAAGCATTACGGAAGGTTTCCGTAATGACTTATCATTTTACGTAACACTAGGTTAATATTCATTACGTAAAAGCATCGTCTATTACGTAAGGCTTCCGTAATGATATTTTACAACTGTTACATAAAATACACGCTCATTATGTAAAGGTTACGTAACGAAGGTTATATCTTACGTAACAGTTAAATTAGAAGTGTTACGTAAGACTTCCGTAATGACTTACCACATTACGTAACTTGATTAATATTCATTACGTAAAAGGACCATCCATTACGTAAGGCTTCCGTAATGCCACTTTACAACTGTTAGTATGCATCTATTACGTAAATGTTACGTAACGATAGTTATTTCTTACGTAACAGTTAAATTAGAAGCGTTACGTAAGTCTTCCGTAATGATTTAACAGATTACGTAATGAAAGGTTAATATTCATTATGTAAAATGAGTGTCTATTACGTAAGGTTTCCGTAATGATATTTTTCAACTATTACGTAAGATAAACACCCATTACGTAACCATTACGTAATGCCTATTGTATTTTACGTAATGCGACTTGTGAAACCTGTAATAGTAGGTCAAAAACATCAAGTTACAATAACTTCAAGGTATTGTAGGAATTACCAATATATTATACTTATCCTAATTTATTTTAAAGAGGATAGCGATTGTGCAGGTTGCATAACCCTGGGTTGTACTCAACGGATGTGATCCTGTGATAGTGGTCCTGGCCCGAAGGCGAAGACTTTTGTTAGATGGAAGATAAAATACGTAGTGTGTTAAGCGATGAAATGAAAAAAGCGCAAGTGTAGGAGTAGTAATTTGTGTTGGTCGTTACTTACGGCTGAAGACCAGCTCTCCCGTTTCCACCTTCCTTTCGCCACCCTCACAAAAGGATCTAGCTTGTGCCCATACCCCGCTCTCTTTCTACCACTCCACCTGATCATTTTTGCTTTCTTTCTTTCTTTCTTTCTTTCTTTTCCCAATTTGCTTGCTCGAAAATCAAGCGTCAAACAAAACATCATCAATCAATCAATCATGGATGAAGAGTACGATGTGATAGTTCTAGGTACTGGTCTTAAGGAATGCATCCTCAGCGGCCTTCTCTCAGTTAATGGGCTAAAGGTCAGCATTTTTGTATAATGAGAACTTTCAATGGTTCCCATAAGAAGTAGAAGTGCCAAATGTGTATAGTATTAACTAATGATACGAGGAGTAAGGTAATTCAGTATTGAGTCCATGAACAACGTAACAGGTTCTGCACATGGATCGCAATGATTATTATGGGGGTGCTTCCACTTCTCTTAACCTTAACCAGGTGATCTTTTGATTTGTCTCCAGTTATTAGTTGCTCTTCAATAATGAGACAATTAATAGGATCGTTGTTGTCTTCTCGAATTTTCGATCTGTTTACCCATGGGTACGTACATAACATACGTATAGCTATGGAAGCGATTCAGAGAAAACGATAAGCCTCCAGAGAGCCTGGGAGCAAGCAAGGAGTACAACGTCGACATGGTACCTAAGGTACGTATATGCATGCATGGTTTTATTGCACGTACAGCCGGCCTGTAGTTTAAGTTGATTAATTAACGGTTACGTTCTCCAACGTGCAGTAAGTATCTAGCTGAACAGTAACGTAACTAACGCTTCTATATGTTGCAGTTCATTATTGCCAACGGGAATTTGGTTCGAGTTTTGATCCATACTGGTGTTACCAAGTACCTAAACTTCAAAGCTGTGGATGGCAGTTACGTGTATAACAAGAATAAGGTTCAAATTTTCTATTTCCGAATTCATATTAATTTTCCAATGCTGGAGATTCGATGTCAGCAACAATATAATTGTGATCCTAAATGATCATGACTGGCTGCTGCTTGGTCTTCCAGATCCACAAAGTTCCTGCAAATGATGTGGAGGCACTGAAATCGCCACTGATGGGGCTTTTCGAGAAGCGTCGAGCTCGAAAGTTCTTCATCTATGTCCAAGATTACGAGGATAGTGATCCTAAATCCCACGAGGGCTTGGATTTGACCAAAGTCACCGCCAGAGAGATTATTTCGTAAGAAGCATGCACCTTCTTCATCATTTAATTTATTCTTCTCATTAGTTACCCCCAGTACTGATGTTAGATGAAGCTGAATAATTTATACTTCATCTCCTCAGTTTTCATTAATGAGAAAGCTGAATAATAATAATAATATACCAAAAAGATAAGCAATTTTTGAATTGTTGTGATATCGTTCGTGTTTTATATATTCACATCACATCACATTCATTTTCATTTCACTTTAGATAAGATTTTTGTTTATCTATCTATTCAATTTGCAGCAAATATGGGTTGGAAGATGACACAATCGACTTCATTGGGCACGCATTGGCTCTATACCATGATGACAGCTATTTGGATCAACCCGCTCTTGATTTTGTCAAGAGAATAAAGGTGCGTAGAAACTGGAACTGTTGCCAAATCATAAGCTATGTACTGATCGTATTTTTTTCATTTCCAATCACGATTTAAAGTGAGTGGAGTTTGAAATAAATATCAAATTGTAGCTTTTTATACTCTAGCACTTAAATAAAGATTTGCAATTTTAATTAGAGAGGGGTAATAACTTGAGTATGATGGTGTGTATGTTGCTGGGACAGCTTTATGCGGAATCTTTGGCACGTTTTCAAGGAGGGTCGCCCTACATCTATCCACTCTATGGACTAGGCGAGCTGCCTCAGGTAACTAACTTAGAGTTTCTCGGGTTTTTTTCTTGGTCGAACGTAACAACTCAGGTAAATAATGGCCCCTCTTCTTCTTCTTCTTCTTCTGTTTTTTGACAGGCATTTGCACGCTTAAGTGCAGTGTATGGTGGGACGTATATGCTTAACAAGCCAGACTGCAAGGTGATTATTGCACTAATTAACTACTACATTGTTTTTGTGTATATATGTAATTAAGGTATGCGTATGCTGTATATATTGTTTTTGTGAATAAATGTTTAATGAAATCACTCACTTACGGGCACGGACACGGGCACGTCAGGTGGAATTTGACGAAAGCGGGAAAGCAATTGGTGTGACTTCCGAGGGAGAGACCGCCAAATGCAAGAAAGTTGTGTGCGACCCTTCTTATCTCTCTGACAAGGTATACCTACCTACCAATTCATCAATTGTTGGCTAGCTTAGCTATATCAATATGTCCTTAATTAATCAATTACCCTTTTATTTGCTTCTTAATTACCTCGAAATTTCATTAATGAACAGGTCAAAAAGGTGGGCAGAGTTGCTCGTGCTATATGCATAATGAGTCACCCAATCCCAAATACGCACGACTCTCATTCCGTCCAGCTTATTCTACCGCAGAAGCAACTTGGTCGTAAATCAGATATGTATGTCCTTAATTCGTAAAATATGTAAGTTGGTTGATTCTCATTACTTAGTTACTGACTTGGTACGCATGGAAGCAGGTACCTGTTTTGTTGCTCTTATGCGCACAATGTGGCGGCCAAAGGGAAGTACATTGCCTCCGTCTCGACCGAGGCAGAGACTGATAATCCTGAGGCGGAATTAAAGCCGGGCGTCGACTTACTTGGCCCCTTGGATGAGATCTTCTACGACAGCTACGATAGATATGTTCCTACGAACACTGCAGATCATGAAGAGGATAACTGCTTCATATCCACTGTAACCATCTTTCTTCCGCCCATCATCTTGTTCTTAACCATATACAATACTATCTACGCATTCAGTCCTAAAACCATCCCGATTCATCATTTGCAGAGTTACGATGCAACGTCTCACTTTGAGACGACAGTAGACGATGTTATTGAGATGTACAATAAGATCACTGGAAAGGTACGTACGTAATATTGCTTCTTTTCCCTAGATTAGAATAACATCTAGTTATTGTTACACGGCATGATGTGCTTTGTGTTTCACATGTTGGACCAGGATCTTGATCTGTCCGTAGACTTGAGTGACGCAAGTGCTGCCGCTGACGACTGAAAAATTACCACATTATTTCACTTATTTTCCTAAGATCTATTTAATTTCTTCTCTATCTTTTTTCTTTTTTAAGTTTTTAACTTGTACTGGGACGAGAAAGGATTCTCTGGTTTTGACTAAGACAAAGAGACTATTTTCTTATTTAATCTATTTCATTGCTAATCTAGTTTTTCTAATCAACATTGTATACGTACAATTTTTATACTTTTTCAGTATGGTTAATTTATATACTTCGACTCTTCAAATGGGTTTTACCCCAAATGCAAATGAAACTACGACTCAATATACATGCAATTATAATTTCACATTATTGATGTGTGTTCTAATCTTGACCTAATTAGATGGGCACTCTCATATGTCAAAAATGAAAAATCTTGTCAATTACTTGATCAAGATAATACGATATATAGCAAAAGCAAACTTCAATAGATATAAATATGAGGAATTTTACAATGCTATATAGTATTGGTGCTATAGGTTTTTGTCTTTATGGTACAATTTGAAATTGTACTTTACGTTATGGTACAACTTCAGATTGTATCTATACTTTTTGTAGAAATTCTTTTATGGTACAACTTGAACTTGTAACTTTATGTGATGGCACAACTTCAAGTTGTAAAGTTGTACCATAACATAATGATACAAATTCCCTTATGGTAAAAACTAAACTTATACATTTAATGTTATGGTACAACTTCAAGTTGTACATTAAAACACCAATACTATATAGGATAGTAGAAGTGCTCTATAAATATATAGTAGAAATCATAAATTGGTGGACATTCAATCACTAAAATTAGTTTACATAAAAAAAATTCATCCCCCCAGCAACTATATGATTTTAATTCATAGAGTGAAAGCCAACCCAACAAAAAATAGGAGAAAGCCAGGAGTAAATTCATACCAAAAATTGCCAAGTAAACCTGTTTACCCATAAAAAAATCAGCTTGTACCACATCGATTAATTACAAGGGGATTAATGCATTTATAAGGCCAGCTCAGCATTAATGATTAAAAGAGCCAGCTGGGCCTAGTTGGGTTGGATTTTTGGGCCTAAGTGGCCAAGCCCCTTCTTCCCTACATGATGGCCGACTCGCCTCCTTGGCCCCATAGCCAGGCGATACGTTTCACCCTTGGTAGGAAATTTGGCCTCCAGAAAAACCAAAGCCTTGGAGACAAGGCGATACAACGGGGTGCCAAACGGTCGGGTACCAAGCCTGGTACCAAATAAGGGCGCCAAACAAGAGGGTATCAAGCCGACAAGGCAGGCCTGATACCCAAGTAAGAAATTTGGCTAAGTCTTGGAAACAAGGCGACACAACGGGGTGCCAAACGGTCGGGTACCAAGCCTGGTACCAAATAAGGGGGCCAAACAAGAGGGTATCAAGCCGACAAGGCAGGCCTGATACCCAAGTAAGAAATTTGGCTAAGTCTTGGAAACAAGGCGACACAACGGGGTGCCAAACGGCCGGGTACCAAATAGGAGGTCATCCAAAAGCCAAGTCTTGGAAACAAGGCCACACAACGGGGTGCCAAATGACCGGGTACCAAGCCGGCAAGAAGGGCCTGGTACCAAAGTATGGAGACCAAGCCACCAGGATTGGTTTGGTAACAAGGGGTGTCAAGTTGATTACATTGGCTTGGTGGCATGCTGGAAGGTATCAAGCCGATGAGACGGCTTGGTAACAACCAACAAGTTCATGAGGAGGGTTTGGTGTCATTGAGGTGTAGCGGTCTCAAGACAACAAGAGTGGGGAGTCATCAAGCAGCCGAGGGTGAGATCAAGACCTCATCATGGTTCACCGACATCGAGGCCATCAAGTACCCACCAACCCCAAGACGGGACAAGGGTCTCCAAGGCGATGGATACCAACCAGTCAACAAGACGGGTCTAGGAGCTCCAAGGAAAAGGAGGTGAAGACCAAGACAATGGTTACCAATTGGCGACCAAGGCAACGAAAAGGGGTCCCTAAGGCGGTTGGAGCAACAAGCCAGCTAGCAGTTACCAAGGCGGTTACCAAGGCAGTTACTCCTAGTGGCTATAAATAGAAGAAACGAAGAAGAAGCAAGGGTTCCACAACCAAACATTTGACGCACAATGTCAAAATTTATCCTTTCTCTGCAAATCAGCTTTTAGTCTTTCGGAGCTCTCACTGAACCTCCATAGGAGTAGAGTAATTTTGTTTGTTTACAAAAAACCATCAAAAACATCAAACACCCTCGTTCGAACATTGTTCGGAGAGGAGTGAACCGTGTTTAGAATCGTTGTTCAAGAAGTCAAAGGTGCATTTATTGAGTTCAAACACCAGATTTTCCTCGCCGGAAAACAAATTGGCACACCTGGTGGGACTCTGTGTGTTTGATTTGATGGATCCAAGACTGAGAGAACATGAAGGTGATATTTCACCAGGAGTTGTGAACGATTTGGTGGCCAAGTTCAAATTTGGCCAAGCATCAGTAAGTGTTGTCGGAAACAATGGCATGATTGAGATATTGTCACCAGCGGCACCTTGTGCCGATGTAACCACCACTGCCATGTCACTCCGCTCAATCGTGGATGATAACTGCAAGATGGTGGTGGAGAACCGTCAAGTGATGGTGGAGATCCGTCGATTGATGGAAGAGAGTTTGAATGGACTTGTTAGAAGTTCACAACAGACAAGTCTAAAACTTGCTCCTTTTAGTTCTATGTTAGATAGACGTTTGGATGAATTGGTTGAAGCAACTACAGTAAATACAAATTGCTTGGTTAAGCTTAAAACATATTTTATAGAACCAGTGGTGCGAGAAATTTCTTTACCAAAAAATGGTATAAATCCGCCACCAAGAATTTCTACTGAGTATACAAGTATCCTGTTCTCCGGTGGCCGGACTACCCAGCCACGGTCAGGGAACTTACCGCCTCCGGCAATGAGTCAACCACCTCTTCAACAAGGCGGTTATGACAAGAATATTATTAACGCATTCACCACCCATGTAAAGCAACCGCCGCCTGTGCAAACAGTTACTCTAAAACATGTCTCAGAGGTTAGATCATTCTTGAACATGAGAGTTGGTGGAGGATCACTAGCCATGGATGTGCTACCACAAGTTTGCCCACCCTCATTTCCATCGATGCTTAAGCGGTCTGGTGGATGCAAACCACCAGGAGGGCAGGAAGAGTTGCATGGAAGCCTACCACCTGACAAGTTGAAGATGAAGAGTCAGGCTGGGGGGCAAGTTGATGTCAAGAAAGGTGAACAAAATGGTGTGTCCAACAGAACACCATATTTGTTTCCTAAGGATGGCATGGAGGGCATATCTCCATCTCCATTCAGTGGGCAGGGGGGGCATGTCATCAGACATGAAGGATGAAGTGAGTGGCAAGTCTAAGTGGGTGTTGCCTACCCATGCCACCTATGATTTTCATAACTTTGATAACGTGTCAAATAGTGCACAAGGAGGCAAGGCCCCTTGTAGCATGCCACCCATGAAGGATAGACAAGGGGGCATATCATCAACCACAAACAATAGAAAGATACACATGCCCAAGAAGCCACAACAAACCCAAGCCACACATGCTTGCAGTAAGAATGGTAGTGAAGTTGAGTTTGGCAAAGGGGGCACGTCAAAAACCATGAACAAGGCTATGGGGGGCATGTCTCCAACCAGTGGAAAGGGGGGCATGTCACCGACAGTGAAGAAACGAGTGGAGAACAAGTCTAGGAGTGTTCATCACACCCAAACCACTCAAAAAATTTCTAAGTATGAGATGGCGTTAAGGGATGGACGAGGAAGCAAGGTCATGCCTAAAGCCCCCCATTGCATGCCAAACATGAATGGCAAACAAGAAGGTATGAATAAGACATCTCGGCACACACCAACCAATCATGGTCCTATAAAAAATCAAGGGTTGTTATGTGTTAAGTGTAAAAACCATTGAGACATGGGTTTTAGAAAGAGTCAAGTTGGCCACAAGGGTGGTCGTCAACTCTGTAAGTCCACACACCCGTCTTCTCAACCATATGGGAAGAGTAAGCATGTGCCTAGTTGGGGTAAAATAAGACAGATGACAACTCTTGGCCCCTTTGATGAGTCGAAGGAGTTGAAAATGTCTAGTGCACCACCCAGGACGAGACAAACACATCGGGTTCAACATCAACCCAACATGTCTAGTAAGGTGGCCAAGGCAGTGGATCATGGGACCCCTTGCAAGCCCACTAAGACAGGGCAAGTTGAGAGGGTGCCATCCATTGTTAAGTTGGAAAATTTGAAACCAACACCGAATGAGTTGTTTCCCCTAACGGAGGGAATACAAGTAGTGTATGGATGGTTGGTCTGGTTTAACCCATGGACTTGGCAGTGGCTGTACAGCTTTGGCACGTTGGTGGGTGCCAAAGGGAATGGATATTAGTGACGTTTGTCACTCTCTTCTATATTAAAATAAATAAATAAATATAATATTATTAAACAAAAGAAGAGAAAAGAAAAATCAAAAGCCAATCATGGCTAAAAAATACGAGGTCGAAGTGTCAAGTTTTAGTTAGATTTGTGATGTGAGAACCTGGTCATAATTGATAAGCCACACTCATGTGGTGGCTGGATCCATGCCATTTACATGGCATGAGCAGGTGATTCGCAGTCGGTGTAAACCCTTTCTTGTCCAGGCCACCCGTCCTAGGAGGCCTTCTTGTCGTAAGAGGATGGGATGCTACATGATCGATTAATCAATGGCAAGTATCTCAAGCCTTATGTCCCTCCTCTTTGGGACGTGAGGTGTCAAAAGGTTCAATGTTGGGCGGCCACCATGGTGGCCGACATGCCAAGCCTCCCACACCCTAAGACATGGCATGATACCTCGTGATAAATCATGGTTCGAGTAGCTAGCCATGACATGGAAAGGAAATTGAGCTAGTTAAGTTTTACTTCCTTCTGTCGGAGCCTAGCATTCTATAAAAGGCTATGGGTGCATGGCTTTGTAATCAAAGCCAAAATTTGGCTAAGGAAGGTGATGCCGAGATAAGTATTATTTTTAGCTGGTCAAGTTGAGTTCAACAACTTAATGCATAATTCTTATACACTAAGTTGTGGGGGGGCATTTGTTTACCCATAAAAAAATCAGCTTGTACGACATCGATTAATTACAAGGGGGTTAATGGATTTATAAGGCCAGCTCAACATTAATGATTAAAAGAGCCAGCTGGGCCTAGTTGGG